GATGTGGATTTGAAAACAGATTTAAAAATGACAGATTATAAGAGTGATATGGAAAAAGATGCCACAATGGATTTACAAATGAAACTGGCTAATGTTTTAATAACTAAAACATTTTTTCCTTTTTCCTTTCCTTTTTTGTTTTCTTTCTTTGCACTTTTCTTTTTTACTTCACTTTTTATATTTCTCTTAGTTTGTATTACTCTTTTATCTTTGTATTTGTAAACTTTAATAACTTATTGCAAAAAAAAAAATCTTGAAAGCTTGTAAGAGTTTCCATCTGCCCCCGCTTATATCTAACAAAATTAAGACAGGGTTACCTTGAGTTTCTTGTCATCCCTCTTCCTTCCTAGGACTATTTTTACTTATTTTATTTCAGGATTTATATAGCCACTCAACTAAAAAAAATGTGGCAGATATCTACAACAACAAAACAACCAAAAATCAGTGAAGACAGCAAGCAAACAGTCAGAGCACACCAACATATAACCTACCTTCCAAGATGAACTCATCTTGTCCATCCTAGCAAGTTCTGAACTAATGGTGAAACTTCAGTCCATTTCTAAATAGATGGACCATAAATTTACAAGTTTGGAAACTGGCATATATGAGATTCATGGAGATCTAAAAATCATGAAAGCTTAAGCTCTTTAATTTTATTAATTTAATTTGATAATTTGGAGGTATTGAAGAGAATTATTATTTCTCATGAACCCATAAATAAGATTTTAGAAGAAATGGCTCAATCTCATAATAAACTCATTACAAATCTACAAACTGAACTACTTAAATAAAGTTCTAGTTCTACTCACTAGAAATAATTTAAAATAATTTAGCTACCTTTGGATGTTGACCAGCAGAAGACTTTATTAAATTATATGGAAGAATAGATCCAGGAAGTCTTCTCCTTGCTGGCTGATTTAAACTTGAGATAATGGACGCTTAAAAAGAGCAAGAGGCAATCCCTCACAGAGATCTACCCCTTTAATTGTTAAATTTCTGAAGTTTACTACTAGAGGTCACCTATAGACAAACTGTTGAATTGAACTAGATTTATCAAGATATTTCTTTACAGTACTTTATTTTGTATTCAGCAATTTTCTGTCTCTCTCTTGGAAATGAAATCAAAAAATTTACAAGCCCACCTGGCACTGTGGAATTTTTACAAGCTCTATGGTTATCTGATGAGTAACAGCTCCCCCTCGCTTTCATCTTTTTCTTTTTCTTTTCTATTTTGCTACTAAATAAGTTTATCAGCTACTTTCCTATATCTCTATTCCCAGGGTCAATGGGGGTAAGTGGGGCTTAGTAGTAACCTAAACAAAACTGGAGATTAAACATGGAAGGTTTTCTTTTTCCTTTCCTTTTTCGTTTTAGCATTAGCACAGTTGGGGTGGGTGCTTCCTTTTTTGTTCTTTTGTATTCAGTTTTATTTCTTTCAACTTAGATCCGTATTCACCATTTAAATATTTTCTTTTTATGGATTTGATGTTCCATAAGATTATTATAGTACACAATGATTCTATCACTGGGAAACTGACTTTGAAAAATATTTTGTCTACAAGGAGGCACGGTAATTAAAATAGTCAGTTGGAATGTAAATGGATTTCAATCAAAAAGAAAAAAAGGGACAAATTTGCAACAAGTTCAAAAAATTACAACCAGACATCTTTATTATGCAAGAAACATATATTCTGCCTAATGAACAGCTCTTTTTGAGACCTAGGAGTGGATTGGAGAAATCTACATTAGTGGGTACTAAACTAAAACATGTGTGGTAGCTATTATGTTTAATGGCAATTTAAAAACTGATGAATTATATGAACATTGTGATAGTGAAGGACACTTTTTTTGATAGTAAAGATACTGTAGTTACTGTCACTATTGCTCTGGTTAATATTTATAGCCCTATTAAGAACATTCCTGACGTATTTCATACCTGTTTCTCTAAATTATATTCTGTCAACTATCAATATATAATTTGTGCTGGAAATTTCATCATAATTCAAGATTATCAGTTACATAAAAGTGCTTTTTTAAAAAAACCTTATTTTTCTCAAAATTGGAAAGTATTACAAGCATATATTTTAGAATTTAAGTTAATAGATATCTGAAGTTTTTAAAACCAAAACATAGAGAATACAATTTTTTTTCTCACATGGGCATCAACATTGTTTTATATTATTCATTCATTCATTCATTCATTCATTCATTCATTCATTTCACTTTGGTAGATCAACTTATGGATTCTTATAACCTGTAAAGGTTATAAATGTGAGGATTGGTTGTAAAGTTACTTTTTCATCACCATCGTAACTGTGAATGGTTGTTAAACAAGGCAGTCACTAAATGAGGACTACCTGTAATTCAGCCAATTTTAGATGGTATCCAAATATTTCTCTTATAAGGGTTACTCCTTTTATAGAATATATTAAGAAAGAAATGTGTTCTTTTTAAAAAAACTAACCAGGACTCTACTAATACATTAATCCTATGGTATGTCTTTAAGAACCCATCTAGGGATCCATTATCAGTTTTGTCCTAGCAAAAAAGAAATTCAGAGACTCTAATTTTATACAATTGAAAAAGATGGTTAAAGATGCACTGTTGTTATATGCAAGAAATCCTACAGATAAATCATATCAAGTATTTAAAGCAGCAAAGCTTAAATTGGTCTACTACATTCAGAACAAAATTAATACTCATGGAAAATCTGTCAGTCAGAAATACTGGGATCAGGAGAGAAAGCTGGAAAATTATTGATTTATTATTACTGAAACAACAAAAAAACCAAAATTTTATATTCAGAATTCAGGCCAATGGTGGACAGTTATTTACTAAGACAGAATCTATCAATTATCAGTTTTCTAACTTTTAGGTTGTAAGTTATCAGTTACATAAATTAGGGGCTCCTGTAGCTGAACATCAAATTATTAATTTCCTGGGAAATAATGAAATGGAAGTGATCTCTCAGAAAGATAAATTGGCACAACCATTGATAGTATAAAAACTAAAGAAATATTTCAATCTGTGAAACTGGAGAGAGCCCCCAGTGGACAATTGATGTGGACAATTTCTGTACACTGGATTTACAAAAGGAATTTGTTGATGCTGCCAAAGATTTTTTGAGAAGAGACAGTGAGAATATGAATAGTGACATGGATAACTTCTTTCTACTAGAACAAAAGGGACTTGATAAAGATGCCAAGGATCTTGAAAGAGGAGACAAAGAGAATAAGAGAAAGCAGATGTTAAAACTTTGTTTGAGGGATCCAAAGATCGTTGGGAGAAAGAAGAAACAATACAGAAGTAGTTTATTGATTAAAATAAATGGGTTAAAATAAATGGGTTCCTATTTCTGGTAATGTTTAATGGTTTCTGGATTGGGACTGGATGGCAATGTTTTAAAGATATGTTTAAATGGAAATGGAGATATAAGTATAAAAGGAAGGATTTAAATTAGGTTTAGTAGATATAATATGTAATAGTTATGTTGTTATTTCTGATAATGAATTTTTGATCATTAATATCGAGAAATGGGGTTTTAGAGATTGGTTTATAGATAATGGGGTGAGGTATGGGATAAAGAGTTGTTTGGTTTTATTTTAAGAGGTAGGGATAAATCGTTAATGCTGATCATACTTGCTGGGGATGAAGGAGGAGGTTTCTTCTTTTCCTTTTATTTATTTATTTTTATTTATTTATTTGTTGGATTTCATTTTTTATATGTGTGTGTGTGTATGTGTGTGTGTGTGTGTATTAGCCTGGCTAATGATCTAGTTCTTATGTGGCATTTGTAACAATTTAAGTTTGAAACCCCTGTTGTAGTAGCTATATACCATGTCTGAATATGAAGAACACAGAAAAGGCATTGAAATGCCTTTCTGCCAGTGATCACTCTGTTTAGTTTGGGTTTCCAATAGTTTGAGATGGTTAGGAATGGAGATATTTTAACTTGTTTTAAAAGATCTTATTAAATATTTCATCTTGCTGATTTTATTGCATTAACATTTGAAATTAATTCAAGACCAAAACATAAATAATAGATGCACCTACCCTTCTCATACGCAGTTCTTCTACTGCCTCCAGAAAAGTTGTTTTGAAATCTAGTAGCTGAATAGAAAGCAATGCTTCTGAGGAGTTTTGTAAGGAATATGCTGCTATTTCTTTATCTAAATCTTCATCCATTTAACCTATGGAATGTAAAAAAAAAGTTTTTTGTTAAAAAATTAATCCAGTATATTATTGTTTACTGTCTATAAGAATATTTTCAAACAAATAGCAAAATTACAAGCAATAATATTAGGGGCATTGTTTGACAAGTCCCCTGCTCTTGGATTAGTTGGAGGGTAACCTAATGATGCAGAAAGAATAAAGGCTGAAAAGAAGGAAGATCTTGCTGTCCCCTCAATTTCAAACTTAGAATGACATTCAGATCAAAGACTACATTTGTCTTTGATTGGCATGCTGGGGCTTCTCACATAAAAGTGGCCAGAGCCAGAACAAAACATACCTTTGAGTTAAATTTATTTAATTTTTATTACAATTAATTTAATACAATAAATATGATTACTTCCCATGTATTTAGCAATATTTTCTTTTAGTCTCAATAAAAATTACAATTTGATGAACATTTTTGGATGGGTTCTGATTGGACTACTCCCATGAATCTGTGGGAAGTAAAGGCCTGATGATGCAGAATACACATCCTGGTGGAAAGCATAACTTTATGGAAGCTTATTTTCAAAATACAGTGGTACCTCGGGTCATGAACTTAATTCGTTCCGCGACTCTGGTCCGCAAATCAAATTTTCCCATAAGTTTCAATGTCAAT